TGATAATCTAACACAGTCTACCCATCTCTCTTGGAGAAAAACTGGGTTATTAATCAACACTCTTGCCTTTCTCTCTCTGTTCCACTCTCTTTTTTTTTTTTTTGAAAACCTGATTTTATAACTTTTCTTAGCAGTAACTGCCACAGTCGTTCTTGTTTCCTATTGTCTGCTGGTGAACAGCGTCACTCTCAAGGAACGAACCATTCAGGGCAAATATGGATGTGTGTTTTTTGATCTGGGAGTGGGAACATTAAATTTTTACTGCTCAAAACAATCTTTGAAAATACAATATGATTAATTTTGTAATTGACAGGGCCCCAATTTTTTTTTCTATGAACAAAAAATAAATAAGTAAATTGTGGAAGGCCCCCTGTTGGTCAGGGCCCCTAGAATTGTCATCATTTTTCCCCCTTATAACGCGCCCCTGCTCGCAAACGAACAAGGTAATTTCACATCTCAGTATTGATAAAAACATGTTGCGTGAATCAAGCTGGCCAAAATCACTAACCAAGACACAAAATAATATGCTGCATTACCATCCAGAAACACTCAGAACTACCCCACAGCATTACGTTCAGGATCCTTACAATTGTACAAGTTTTTACTTTTACAGAGATTTCTGAAGGATAGCAAAATTACTGGATTTTGATTTGTTTTTCTAGCAAAATTACACTACTTGGAGATGGCATTTCAACGACCATCATGCCGCCATTTGAAGAGTTATAACTGAAAAAACAGTAGACTTAATACACTGACTGCAGTAAACAATCTATTTATTGTCAATATAATTTCCCAACATAGAGTTCTTCAAATACACCCATACCTGTCAAATTTTGTGTCTGAGTATATGGGAAATGTCTCTGTCCGGTGCTACTGTCAGAGGAGGGGGGAGTAAAACTAACATAAGAGCCGTGGGGGGAGGAGGGAATATTTATGGGAAAATAGAAATGCAGGGGCAGGGTGGGAAAGGGGTGTAAGAAACCGTAGTTTCCCTTATGAATACACCATCCATCCTGTGATGAAAGTGGACCCGGTTCATCATTATGATGGGACAGAGAAACTCTCTTCCCCGAGTTCAGGTACAGAACCTGCTTTCTGATCCGGACCCCGCTTATTATCCACCGGCTTCCTGAGCTAACACGGTGCACATTATTTGTAGATACGTTTGAATCACAGGTTTTATACAGCATCACTAAACATAGCATACAACCTAGAGTTGCTAATACAACGTTAGCTAGTCAGTTGTCTCATAGTAAAAGAAAAGTACCGCTTACCTCTTTGTGCAACTTCAAATGCCGAACAGTTATAAGTTTTATCTCATCTGAGATCCTGGTCTTGCAGGTTTTGCATGTTTCACTCCATTTTTAGTTGGATATTTCATGATTGATGTACCCAAATGAAATTACTCACTGGAGCATATCTGCTTTGAGAGTTTTTCGTCTCTCGTTTTTTTCCCCCATTATTTTTAAATCCTGTTAATTTGATTAGT